CAAAGAATGAATGTACCTGCGCCATTGCAAACGGTTTTGAGCCATGTGATTCAGGGTGTCTAACCATCAATTACTAACATCTCGCGGACCCCAACCAGGTAGTCTACATCTACCAACATGACTCAGTCCAATTGTCAGTGACTTTATGGATTTGTGTCATGTTTTGGTTTGTCCGCCCCTAACTTTCTTCCAACCTATTCCTACACTGCAAAACATAGCTCGTCGAGACAGTCGATGGTTGGGCATTAATAACACATATCCCAACTACCTCAACTGATGAAGTTTGATTACTTCATCTATTGATTTGCCATCCTTACCTAGTACTTGTTTCCTAATGACAGCATTGCTTACTCGGTTGACCCAGGATACTCGAGCAATGCTTCGGAGACACCTATGATCGAAAACCGGTAACCTATGAATATCCTCTACTCTCACTGACCAGGTTTCACAGTCATAAAGTAGGACCGAGCGAACTACTGCACAGTACACTCGTCCTTTAATCAGCAAACGGATATCACACGTACACCATAAGTGATGCAAAGGCAAACCATTTAAAAAATACTGCCTTTTAATTTTAAGTAATGCATTTTCTTGCTAATACATTAGTGATTTAAACCGTTTTGTAAATCTACATTTTGATAAATGGTTATTTTTCTATTGTGTTGTAAATTTTCAAGAATAGCAGTGGTGACTTAATGTTTAGATCACCTAATCTGTTCAACGCATAGGCTACATACAGATTTGAATACGACTAGTGGTGTAGTTCAGGCTGCTCGTCTTTTTTTCTGATCTTATTTGTGGATGTTCACACTATTGAGTTCGATTGGCTTCTAGCTTATTCAAGGGATATATTAAAGCAAGTAGTTCAATACTATGCGACTTCCTAAACTCGAAATAAAATTTCTCTGTGTTTTTTGCATAAAATACGATTTGAAATGACAGTTGCATGTCTCCGTGTCGGTAATTGTCGACTACCTGGTTGGGGTCAGCGAGATGATAATAATCGATGGTTAGAGACCTTGAATGACATGGCTCAAAATCGTTCGCAATGGCGACGGTGCATTTATTCTTTATGTTTTCTCAAATCCTAATCTTCTAGATTCTTCAACACCTCTAGTTTTGACTTTCTAAACTTATCTCACTGAATCACACTTCTTGAATAATATCTTCTAATCTTAATCTCTCCGATTACTTGTAATTCCCTTACTACCTCTACTATTATTGGATTTGAATTGACAATTACATCTCTCTGTGCTGATGTGGTATGACAACATGAACTGATGTACGTACGTATGAAGTTCTACGTTGTAACTGATTGATTGACTGACTGACTGATTCATAATGAAATTTAACCACTTTCATTCAATAGTAAGCTATTACTAAAATCAACTACAATCTTTAAAATATGTAATAATATGTATTAGTAGTAGTCAGTCATCTATGTGTACTGTACTGTAAAAATCTCTAATAATATATATTATCTGATAAATATGAATCTGGTTATGATTTGTCAAATTTTTCAGTTTGTTTTGTAATAAAGTATGGATATAGAACGTTCATTTTTTTTTAAAAAAAAACTAACTTTACTAGTAGGGAGAGACAAATGTTGTTGTTTAACTGTTAAATTAATGTTTGAAAATGTCTATAATATAATATGAAGAGTGTTTATTTTCTAATTATGTTTTAGTTTATTTATGACATACATTTTACGTTGTTGTATACTAAGTCATAAATAATGATGAGTATTATATTTGATTCACAATTGATATCTATCAGTATATATTTTATTTAAATCTTGTTCTATGTTTTTGTTAAATTTTATTATGTGTACACATGGAAATCATGAATCAATCATTGTTAAACTGCCACCATTAGAACCCTGGAAGCACTGGACGGCCGTTTCGTCCTGGTATGGAACTCATCAGCAGTGCTCACTAGTGACTAGCTTCGTAAAGGAATTCTCAGAGTTCTAGTGAGGAGATGTGATCAGTGGAATTCAACCCTGTCCGGTTGTAGGCAGTAACTACCGAAGGCAAATGGGTGTGGTCGGACAAAATCCCTAGATGATCAGAGTTAAACATAGACACCATTGGATGCCGATTCAGTGGTCCAGAGGTTAGATGTTTATGCACAGGACCGGTCTTTGGTTCGAATCCTGCGAGTAACAGGATTCGTTAATGTGCACTGTTGATAAGTCCCGTATCAGGACGATACGGCCGTCCAGTGCTTCCACTTTTCTAATGTGTAACAACAATGATCTCCTTAACTTTAATTGAAAAATCGTACCATTATTTACTTCATAGCCTTCAGCATACATAAAATTAGGATATTTTCAATGATTATATTTGTATTATCTTATGATTTTACGTCATTCATTGCTCTCACAGTCATGTGATTTTATGACGAAACTTATATTGTTCTTCTGGATAACATAATTATTGTTTCTTTCATTTGGAAGTGAATTTTGTTAACGTTGTTTGTTTATCTCCATAGATTGTGTTAGGTTGACCTCTGACCTTTTCTACACTAGTTGATAAATAGGATATGTGCCAGTAATTTTGTTGATTGTAAATTGATTAGGATTTTTTTATATATGGGAGATTTTAGTGGAGAATGTAGTATTCATACAGTTGAAATCACAAACTAACTTTGACAAGTTCATCATTTAAAATCTGGAAGCATTGGATGGCCGTTTCGTCTTAGTATGGGACTCTTCAACAGTATGTGTTCAATAGTTGACCAACAGTTGAGAATCAGACAAAATATCAGCACTATAGTTTATTGATATAAAATTCGTGTCAGTCACAGTGCGAAATCAATCTTCTATGCATAAGCCTAGTCTGTTTACTTAGTAATTGTCTGTCTTCATTTCATCACTTTCTTACTGAACTGATGAATCAATCATTGTTAGACCAACATTAGAAACCTGGAAGCCACTGAACGACGATTTCGTCCTAGTATGTGACTCATCAGCAATGCGCATCCACAACTCCTGCTACTCATGAACGCCTAATCTCTGAACCACTGCACTGGTCCAGCATCTAACAGTGTTAATGTATAACTCAGATTAATCACTTTCATAGGTTACACAGTAAATATGTACAAAGAGTGTGGAATCTCAACATCTTATGGGGATAGAATCCATAAACTTGCCTTAGTTGCTAAAAGTGACGCATTGTAAGTAAGAATGAAAGAGAAGTATAAACTAAAAACAGGGAAGAGTAACCGTGTAAGTATCCATTTCTGTGTTTGTGGTAGACAGGGCAGGTGAATAGTGCTTCTTTTTGTCCCAAAGTCATATCCTTGTAGATTTCTCTTCAAAGAAACTAAAGGTGCTTTAATTATGATGGCATAAGGTTGTGTCCGTACACTGACCGACACACTCAGACGATCTTTGAGTAATTGATACACAACATGGATGAGAGAATTGCTATCCTATGCTTTGAAAACAACGGCTGTGGTGCGAGCTACTTATAAGTAGTATATGACGTGAGTGTCAACGTAATGTCTGGCAGCAGAAGATGGAGGAAGATCAAGAGAAAGGAAGAGTTAGAAGAACACAATGGAATTTGTATGAAACACATGAATAGTGACAATGGATTGTTGATGTTTTGCAACAGGAACAACAGTCCAGTTTGATATGATGAACTGATATTTTGCAAATTAACGATTTACGATATGGTGTTCCGATTTTACTGAGTAACTCTGTAATTTTCGTTAAATACAATTCGGTTGCCCCACCTGTGTTCTCCTTCACTACACGGCCTAATACTATCTTGCTTCATCCAAATAGGAAGCACAAAGGCCAATCATCATCAGTCCAACATTCGTTATTATATTTCATGTCAGGCATTCCTTTATAATATGCATACTAAACTAAACCACATTACACCATCCCCAATAAATGGAAATTAACAACTATACAGTGATTTTGAGCTGAAAAGTGACTGTGAATAAGGGAAATTGTAAATAATAATAATGAACTGTCAACAAAACAGGAACATCAAATCGTATGATAATAATTTATGAGTTAATAAAAAAAACTTCGG